GGGACTGCAGTCAGCTCTGATTGAAAGCCACATCACCACAGATTAACCAATCATACTGCAACATTAGCCTGTCAGGAAGCTGACAGCTCTGACTTCCATAAAGGAAGCAGCATGTTTATTGTGTATGTGCATGTCGGTGAGATTCGAAAAGACCCAGGGCATCTGGCAGCACAAAAGCCTAACATGTGCACTTGGGCCATGGTAGCCAGGAGCTTCTTTCACACATGCGTGCACACATTCGTACATGCACATACGCTGACATATTTGCACAGGAAAGAGACGTGGAAAGAACTAGAGACCCAGGGGTGAACAGCACTGCCATCTCCACCCACCTCTCCTACCAGCATTACATCAGAATTGATTGACCCTTGCACTGAGTTGTGGTTCTGCGCTGCAGTATGCAGGAGATTGACAGCCTGGCATAAGCTGTTATTTCAGGCTGTTTTTGCTCTTTCTTTGTGTGGTACTCCAGGCCAATCTCTCTTTCTCTGTGTGATGTTTATCTTTTAGCACTGCAAGGTGCATGCTATCAGTGTTTTATGCACATATGTATCCTGTGTAATTAGTACCACAGAGCAGCACAGATGAACAGCCGTGAACAATATAACTGTACACTTTACTGCTAATCTTACACTTGAGCTTGCATGCAGACTCAAACAGATGGAGGGTACAGAAAGATAGAGAGACAGAGACACACAGTGAGTGAGTGCTCTGATAGGCTCAGTTGGGGGAAACGGGTGGAGTGGAACATTGGTCCCCAACGAGGCGAGCTAACTGGGAAAAATTAGGTCAGTGTGTTCCCTCTGACTTCACAACAAGAGCAGGCTGTGTGTGTGTGTGTGTGTGTTTGTTTTGCCGGTGCACCTACAGTGCCATATTGCACCACTTTTACAATATACTCTGCAGGTCTGCGCTTGTTTGTGTGTTTGTGCTTGCCACATGTTGGCATGTCAGTGAATGTGCTATCAAAGGTCAAGCCTGATTTCAACACAGCTGATAATTATTTCCACCATAATTATTTCTACAATGTTTTCGTGTTTAACTAGCTCTAAACCAAAATCCTAAAAGTGTCTTTCTTTTGACTCATCGCTCGTCTAATTGAAACAGAAATCTAGGGTGTAACTAATCATAACATCATAATCAGTAACAAAATAGTTCTGAATATGAAAGAACTGAATAAAGGTTAAGAGACATTTAATCCCCAAATGGGCCAAACAGTCTTTTGGAATAAAAGCTTCGGGGACAGATGGATCAGATCTGTAGTCGTTTGGCCTGCGGAGAATGAGGATGTTTTTCTAGCCTACCTCCCACCCAGCTTTTTCTTTACTATGTCTCTCTCTCTCTTCTTGTCTCCTGATCAGGACACATTCTATAATTGATATGAGATTTAGAGGGTATATTTCAATGTAATTAGAATCTTGATAATTGTACTAATTAGATCTAATTGCCATGTGAGAATGACTTTGATTAAAACAGGTTTCTCTCCTCAAAACCAGAGTAAAAAAAAAAGTTGGGTGACATTGATGAGACAGTGCTGAAGCTAATTGACATCATAATGGATGCATGAAAATCGAAATCTGTAACAAAACAACCAGTGATTCTTCAGTATTGAATATTTTTAGAATGAAGGTGATTTCTTTACCAAGTCAAGTGGGATGAGAGTTGTAAAGCTTAATTGCAAGTTAGCAAAGAGTAACGTCACTGCGCTGAGAATACATAGTGTGAAGTATGCTGTAAAAGTAAAAAAATATATTTAATCTGAGTATGTTTTGATTTGCTAGAGGTTATTGCCACACCATCCAAAAGCATTAAATTGGCCCTATCAAATTACAACAGCTGTAGTGAATCAGTTGCTTTGACTTTTCTCAGTGCTATTCTATGAGAAAGAATGTGGTTAAGAGTACACTTGTAGACGTCCAGTAAGATGGAAGTTGGGCGTGAGCCTTTCATACATGTTCCAACAGACAGCAGCACAGGAACTCTTTATAAAAAGACACAGCATTCCTACCTTGATTTTAAAGTCTTTCTCATCTATGGAGGAGTGATGTTTATATCAACCCAGAACTTTATTTAAAGTACACTGTGCTAACTTCTGTAACCAACATTTTGTGTGACTCATTAGATGCATATATATAAACTGTACATCAGCTACCATAAAGGTAACTGTTAATTTAATTTAACACTGGCAAATTTAAGTGTCATAGAATGTTGAGTTCTTAACATAAAGTCTTAACATAAACTATGAAGCCACACCTGCTGCCATACCCTGCAATAATCACAGCACAAAATATTAAAATATAGAATATTAAAAGTGAGAACTGTATACAGGATGAGATTTATTCTTCATTTAGGTATGGATACACACATTTTTATGTAGCCCTGTAAGACATTACCCTATTTTATTTCAAAACATTACAGGGCATTTATTTTACTTGGTGAATAAAGTGCTCTCGACCGTGATGCTGTGGAAGTGAAGGCATTGTGATAAAGCTTTTGTGTGAATCTCTGCCTATCCTAAATTAATCTTACTGTTTCTAAGCATTTGCTTAATAATGTATGAGCATCTGATTTGCACATTTGTGTCGGGACACCCTAAAAAATTCTCCATCAGCTCGGTCTCTTGTGGCTCAATAGATGGCAGTAATATCCCTCAATGACTGCAGTATGAAACCTCATCCCACATAAAGTACATCTTTACACAAACATCAATGTGCAAACGTACTACACACACACACATGCACTTGTACTTCTATCTTTGTGAGGACACTCACTGACATAATGCATTCCCTAGTCCCTTACCCTGCCCTTAACCATCAGACCTAAATGCCTAACCCTAACCCTTTACCTAAACCATACCTAAACCAGATTCCAATCTGAACCCTAACACTAAGTCTTAACTCTCAAAAGGCTGTTTTACAAATTGAGGACCAAACAAAATATATTATTATTTTTATAGTAAAAAAAAAAAACATACTGTGTACCAAGTACAAGGGCACACACATTCTTGTATTTCTATCTTTGCAAGGACATTTATTGGACATTTATTGACATAATGCATTCCCAAGCCCCCTACCCTAATTTTAACCATCAGAAATAATTGCCTAACACCTAACCCTTTTCCTAAGACCAAGGCTTATCCCTCAAAAGGCTGTTTAACAAAGTGTCGACGGGACACAATGTCCTCACTTTCTAAAGATGTCCTCACTCTATAGCAAAAAATAAATAAATAAATAAAGGTCCTCACTATGTAGTAAGTACAGGAACACACAAACACACAGTTGATATGATGCCACGATGTGCACACAAACAGACTCCCACACATGCACAGATACATACTTTATAAACACACACAAACACAGATATAAACAGAGCTTTCAAAATGCCAGAAGAGATGGAGATAATATCATTACAGCAAATAAAATTAAACAAATCTGTAAACAATCCCAGTCACCCACATCTCAGTCAGTCCTCAGGTAATGTAGAGAAGCCTAAAATAAGTCAAATAACACAGTGAGAGAGATGGTATGATACTGAGATGGCAGTGTCTTTAACTTCACTGTGAAAGCCAATACTGGCATTGTATCTTTCTAATACTCTGATTAGGGCAGGGCAAAAAAGCAGCCTTTCGCTCAGAGAGGTGCGTGTGATGTGTGTGTTTGTACAGATTAAATCAATAGCAGCAGCACCATCACAGGGAACAGCCAGGGCTCCAACTCAATACAATCCGTACCTATAACTGACAGAAATGTCTCATCTCACGGAAGCCGGTGCTTGCTCAGAGGTAAAAAGCTACACTATGAATAATTGTGGAAAACCATTTAATTGTGTCCCTTTGTGTGCAGCCTGCCTGGATTCTGTGTTCGTTTTGTATTCACTCTCCCTCAAGATAGTCCCTGTGTCGTCATTTGTTGGCAGGATACGCTAGTAATCATTTGAATTCCCCCAGTATGTTCAGAAGATGTCAGGGAGTAGTCTCTGATCTTGTTTAATATGTGACCAGCAGCTACAAATTACCAACTCCCAGAAATGAGGAAACACGGGTACTTTTAAATCTCCAGGGAGAGCTCTCTCTGTCTCTCTTACCTACAGTGACTTCCTTTCTCTCTCCTTCCTTGTGTAATAGGGTGTGTGGCAAAACCCCCTCCCTAAATTTTGTTGATGTTCAAATAAAAACAAATACCTGTGACTTTTTTGTTGAAATAACCAATGTAGCTTTTAGCCTGTTTTGATGCTCCATGGGCATACTACTCGCGATTTGTTACTTGGCATGCGTTTGAATTTCTCTGCTTCCTGCTTTGTTTATATTTCAGTGTTTTCTCATTAAAATCAGAAGCTGTAAGCCATGATGAAGAGGGAGAAAATTAACACACCTCTGTTGTTGCATTTTGTTGTGCAGTAGGAAACAACTAAACTGCCTAGTTGTGGTTTAGTGACATACTGTGAGGACTGTTTGTTTTGGATTATTGCAGCTAATATGTTGTTACAAACCAAATAAGTTTGAATACGAATATTCTGTATTAAATCTGTAAACACAAAGCGAAATTCTTTTTGAATTGATTTTACATATTAGTTCATTTTAATTAAAATGAACATAAGATTTGATCAGGGGACAAAAGGGGACACAGACTTTATTAAGTTAAAAAAATAGAAAATGAAAGCCCTATGGACTGATAAATTTACCTGCCTTGACTTCTTGACTTCCACCTTTTCAGGATGGCTTAGGCCATGAGGGTCTGGAATCTTTGTGTGTAACTAACAGTGAACTGTGTACAATTAAAGCTATACCAGACACAAACTATTTTTCTAAGATTTCCCTTGAAAAACGTATATCTATATCTGTATAGGACGTGTTCTAGGCACATTTTGTTGTCAGCATCTGTCTGGCTGATGCTGTGCACATCATTATCTCTGAAGCAGAGAAACCAGTTTTCACCCACATTTTCTTTTTTTTCACATTTGAATTTTGTGCGGCTGAGACAGGATAATGAGTGGTGACTTACTTTAGGGAGAACGTATACTCCTCCATCTCCTCCGTTGAGAGGTTCTCCGTTGAAGACTGCATCTTCTGTTTGTCTGCCTGCAGAGGCGGTGCGCTGCTGCCGCTCATGCTGGGGCCACAGCTATTTGTCTTCTTGATTGGCTTCTTCTGTGAGGAGCAGAAATCGGGGAGAATGCATGCGGATGTCATTTGTAATCAAAGCAGGAAACAGGCCTCTGAATTTATCTTGGGGGATGCACACGGTGACAGTGACAGCGCGCGTGGCACTTTGGAGTCTCTCCTATATCTCAACCGCGCCTCAGTTGACACGAGACAAGAATGACAGCAAAATCGCATATGGCATGCCATCATTCAAGTTGCGTTCATTTGGGAAACATGCGTACAGTGACGTGGTGTTAAATATGTGATATTTGAGCAGCTGGCGCTGTTTTTTCCACACAAGTCGTTTACTGTCATCATCATAAACACAGCCAAATGGAGTTAGGAAGTGGGGTTTTAAATATTTCACCAAGGTACTTGGGAGCAGATATTATTTGTTAAGCCGCCAACATGTTAACGGGTTGCTTTCCCTGGCCCTGTCAGCCCTACCTGTGTTGCCCCTGGGTGGGCTTAGTGCCTTTCTGCTTGAAGTTGTGAAATACTTACTGATGTATGTTAATGAGATCCACAGTTGGAATATGCAACCTTTCTTTTTCTTCCACCCCTGTCTAACTCTGTCTTTCCATTTTATTTTGCTATCTTTTCCCCTGCTCCATCTCTCCCTCTCTTTCTCTCTCTCTGTGAGATAAACTAGGCCCAGGAAGTAGTAAATGTGCAGGGCCCCATAAAACCTCCATCCGTTTTCATAGGGCAATCTTTGCCAAAGCTAGCTTGGATTCCAGAGTGATGATCACAATAAAAAGGTGGATAAGAACGGGAAAGAAAGCAGAGAGAGAAAAAAAAATGCGGGATATAAACTGCAATGTTCTTCGGTGTCTCCCCTCAATAAATTTAATGCAATACCTTAAGAGCAGATTCTGTATATAACTGGATTCCTGCCCTGTGGGCAAAGTGGTCGCCTGGAGAAAATTCATTTTAATTAGGCCTGCACTGCAGGTTGAAGGGTTGAAATCTGATCCCTAGCACTCCCAGTCTGGGGCAGCTTGGAGATCACTCCACTTAATCATTAGACAACTGGGTTCCACACCAAGACGTTTGACAGAGTGAGCAAGGTTGTAAGGACTGGGCCAAGAGGAGAGGAGAAACACACAGTGTACAGAGGCTGCAGAGAAATAAACCTCATATCAGCAAACTCATTTATTTGGTATCAGGTGATCACTGAATAATGGTCGTCTGAAGAGCCACTTGTACATCAGTTGAATGGAGGTTATTAAGAATAAAGAGGAGAGGCAGGAGGGGAATGTGTGCACAGTATGTGTGTGTGTGTGTGTGTGAGACAGAGGCTTGATGTTGTTCATAGGCTTCTAAATACCTCAACAATAATATTACAACAACAAAAGGCCAGCACAATGGCAGGGGCGGACCAGGAGGCAGCAATGCCAGATCAGCACACAGTAATTTTGCAATTACAACTTCAAAGTATGGCAGGTAACATGCGGGCTTTGATTAATTTAGCTTAAGTCCTCTGTTTCACAGGAAGAGGCGTGTTTAAAGCAGCTTGGAGGAAAAAAAACAGAGGCCTGGTTGGTGTTGCTGATTTCACAGAATTTGAGCTGCTTTGGCTTGTCAAGCAGATCAAAACTAGCTTTGAAGACTGAAAAATACCTGTTAGTGTGAAATGTATTTTGACAAATCTCAGATATTAAGCCAGGGAGGCATGTGTAGGGGTGCGGAGAGGGGCAGGAAAGCAAGGGGAGAAGGAAGCAGAGAGGGTGATCATTTCAAAGGTGGGAACACTTCTCTTAAATCATAGTGTTACCTTGTAGTGAATCCCACCCTCTGCTGTCCCCCTACATAGATCTTTTTCTCTCATGTTTCCAGAAATGGCTCCTGAGGGAGACTTCTTCCCTGCATCCCAGAAAGAAGAGTAATGTTCAGTGAGTGTGGAAAAGACAGAGAGGTTCATGTTTGTTTTTATTCACAAACCACAACAGGCAATCATGGAAAGGTTCAAGGGTGGCTGAACAATTCATTTTATTACAAAATCCAGTGTGCAATTGATAATAATAAATAAAAAAAATTAAAGACAAACAATAATGGGCATTGGAAACTATTCAGACTATGTTCTGAATTGTGCAAATAATTTTATTCACCACAATAAATATTAAAAGGTTTACATTTGGTTCAGCAAAATTAATATAAAAGTGGACTAAAATGGCAAAATTCTTTTCAATTACACTACAAGAGAGATCATCATTCAAGCAGAAAAACTGTCAAAAAATATGTTGTTCGCAATGTACCAAGAAATCAAATCAAATACTTTTTTATTGCTGAACACAATGCATGTGATTCCTTCGTTTTTCTAGTCTGGCAGGTAGTGAATATGTTTTCCTGCACTATCTGTAGACAAACGCAGACTACACAGAGAAGTAATAGTAATTAACTTATGGAATTCTCATTGCACATTCACCTTCCACACTTTCAAAGCTGAATCTTGCCAGTGTCACTGTTCTAATGCACACAATTAGAAAAGATGGGAAAAAAGAAAGAAAAAAACTTGTTTGTAATACGTTTTTCCGTTCATCTTTTGTCTCGAAAATTACTTTTGAAGTGGTTTTTCATCCTGACCCGCTTCTTCTTTTTCTTCTTCTTTTTCTTTGCTGTAATTTAAATGGTAAGCCACCAGATGTGTGTCTCATGCTTGAAGAGTCAGAGATCTGCATTATTTAGCATATTAACAGTCACAGAATTTAAAAAAGAGTTCCTGCGTCGCCTGGAGGTTGTAATTAAGTAAACCTTAGCTTAATACATGTAAAAATCTCACTATGTGAAACTTTTTTTCCCCTGTGGAACCAGTCACATCTATATTCTCTGATACATATGGAGACCTCTGCAATGATAACATTTTTTCTTGCTTTAGAATTAAGCAGTAGTAATAGATGTAATAACCTAAATATACCAAAAATCCTTCTGACAGCTAAAATCTTCATAGATGGCAGGAAGAGTCTGCCCATTGCCCCCACCCCCACCCTCCACACACATTCCTACAGTATGTCTTAGCAAAGAGCAAAAAAAAGTCTTTTCATTGTTATTTTTAAAAACACCAAAACCAGTCCTCAGGGTGAAATTATTTATATTTTTACATTTTCATGCCATTAATGTACATAAATGAAAACTCAATTTTGTGTCTGTGTTAAAAATTCAATAATCTCATGTTAGTCACATCTTCTGTACATGATGTAAAGTTAATGAAGTATCTTAAATATAGTTTTACATGCTCTGAAAGCACACAAAAACAAATCATGACACACTGTACAAAGCGCCGCCATGAAGTGAGGAGGCAAATATACAAAATTGTATGCTATGGTAAGTTAATTACAGTTATTGTTTTTTGCTGTTTTAATAGTTTATTACTAAAATTCTAGGTAGAAGTGCACTTAAGTAAATATTACATTCAGCAAAGTAAGTGTGTTCCTTTACAGACAGTCTGAGACAGAGTAAAGCTGCCCTTTGTCAACTTCTTTTGCACACCCACACAGACACACACACACCTCAGCTTCTATTAGCAGCAACAACAGCAACTGTGGACTCAGACTTAGATCACCATAGATTAGAATGTTTTCTTAGACTGTACAGTCACACACACACACACACACACACACACACACACACACTCATTACAGCAGGCCCAACTCGCTAATGCGCAGATGCTGTGGAAGCAGAATGAGTGCGGAGGCAGCATCGACAGCTTCGACAGCTGAGGGCTACGTCCGTGAACTCAGATTGCAGGAGCTGCCACAACACCAGCCTCGCCAGGCACTCAAGGCCAACAACACACTCCTTGCTATCCCCTGTGATCTGAGCTGTGTTTAGGCCAAAACAGACACACACAGTGCATAGAATGCATTGACGAACCCACACAGAAAGGCACAAAAACAAAAATATTAATATTCAGGCACTTGAATATATTCACAAATATTTTCTAGAGTAGAAATACAAGTCAGTGTTTTCACAGGTACATGACTTAAAACGTTTGTTTTCTCTCATGCTTACAATGAAAAGGGGAAAAAAATCACTGCATTATCAGTGAGATGTAACCAGGCAAAGATGTCCATTCTTGCTAACCTAGGCTCCTCATTGCCTCATGACTGGTCAAAAGCTTCAGAAGGATCAAAGGTCAATGAGTCATGGATTACTCCGGAGCACATTGCAGTATCTTGTGTTAAGGTTGCTATGATACAATGAGGATGGGGTGTCATTTGACATAAGAGTTTATTTTCTCTCAATCACACTTGCTTCTCTGAATCAGTGTGTTTTATAGTCAAGAAACCGTCACTTTTGGGTGCATTTGTCCCCCACATGCTATCCTTTAGGCTTGTTTACCACAACCATAGTGAGGGTTTACTTGTGGGTCTTTGCAAACAGGCTTCAAAGGCCATTCAATTGGAGTCCGGACATCGCTGAATTAATCAGCAGGATTCAGAGTGCAACTGATTGAGAGGATATGATGTAACATTGCAGTCTGGAATTCGGATGACTGGGACCAGCCTAGAGGGGAACACATCCTGAAAGTGCAGGGCAGAGCTCCAAAGAAGACATTAGATGAGGAATCCTCGAAATCACCATCCACGCTCAAGGGGATGAATGTTATGATGCATTTGTGAAAAAAAATTACAATTTAAAAAAGGGCAGAAAATGGGCAGCAATGTTATGATGCATTTGTGAAAAAAAAAGTACAATTTAAAAAAGGGCAGAAAATGGTAGAATCACCTGTGTGCTCATAGAAATCCATTACAGGCTATCATGAAACAAGACACTAATCTAATTAAGTAATTTGGATTCAGACAAACCCAGTGTAAATGGATCATATAGTAAATATGAAAGGTCACTTAACCTAGTGGGCCTCTAGCTAATCTAAATGTTAAAAAGCCAAATATATACCATTATGGTTGGATGAGTCAACTGAGGTAAATCAGAATTATCATCCATCGGCAACTTAATCTGAAACACAAAAACATCAGTGGCCACACCACAACAGTTACAGTAACCTTCTGATTTTTCAATCAAAACTTGTCAGAGTTGTTTCCTTGGCATGTCAGGTTCTATTCTGTTACAGACGCCTCACAATGCACTGTGAGTTTTCTGTGGGGATTAATTAACTTAGGGCCTCAGGAATACAAACTTCCAGTCTCACTGTCAGTCTCTGCTGTGTGTACATTATCACAATTACAGGAGGTCTCCATATACTTGTCCTGATTCTCAGACAAATGGGTAATGAGGAAAACCCTGCTGTAACAGAGAAAGTGAGCTCTGTGCAGCACACATCAGAAACAAAGAGGCATGAAATGGGAAGGAAATGTCTGAAAGCCCTAAACTTGACAGAAGACTGAGGAACGGGGGATAAATTGTTCTTCTTTTCCTCACTGAATTGGATTTCCATTTTTGGCTGGGTTAAAGTTGTCTGTCCCTTCAACCTTGACGTAATCTCCTCATCTGAATGCCATAATTCACTCAAGAGGTAATGCAACATGAACAGATCTGTATGCAAATGAGGCACAAATGTCAGGTTGGTTTAGGGAATGGTGTGGATGAGGTGCTATGCAGGACGCATTTTGATCCATTATTTCACTTACGGATCAGGTTCCCTTCCCAAGCAACCTCCTCACCTGGCAGTGAAAATGTGTGTGTGTCTGTGTGTGTGTGTGCGCTGACATCCATGTTTGTGTGTAAGTCTAAGTATGCAACCCTGTGTTTTGAAGAGACCTGGTACCTTTTACCTTATGTGGCAGAACATAAATCTCCCATAGTGAGTGCCTCCCTCACTCTCTCTCACTCTGGAAAGGCAGTCAGTTTGTTGGGGACACTTCCCTTGTGGGTGTTAAGATCTCTGTGGGGGGTCACAGGTCAGCCAGCGGAGGAAGCGACAAGCTGTGAAATGTAAAAGACCAATTTCTTCCACATGTTTCAGTGCTGGGAGAACACTGCCAAGCTGTCAGCCAGCATCACGTTTAAAATGGGCCAGGGTGCTACCCAGCAGACCTGTCACAACTCATTTGTAATTAAAAAGCCTGTGTGATGTTTAAAGCAGAGCACCCGAGAAACTTTTGAGAACTGTTAAATAAAGATGAGCCATGCCTGCAAAAAAAAAAAATAATAAAGGAAAGGAAAGAAGGGGCATGTATTACTAACAAAGAAGCTAGCCAGTCATTTTTTTAGTAGATCAATACCAAATGAGCCTGTGTTTAATTTTTGGTTTTGCCCAGAAGGTTGGGCAACTTTAAACTAGATGGGAAATAAGAACTCTATGTTTTTCAAATAACAGAATGGATATTAATAAAAATCATTTAAATGTGGAAACAATTGTGACTTTTCCTGGACCGCCAGGTAAGCAGTGGGACCATAACAGAAAAGTTCATCTGTGCATCTGATGTCAGCAATCCCAGCAATGCACTGAAAAGCCAAGATAAAGTACCAAAGAATAATCATGTTCACCTGGGAATGTAAGTATCAAATCAACATGACCTGCATGTCTGACAGTAGGAAACCAGAGCACCCAGAACATGAACACGGGGGAAACATGCAAATTCAACAAAGACCATTCTTTCTGTAAAGAAAGACTAACCACTGAGTCAGTGTGCAGTCTCTAAAATTGTTTATTTTTTCCAATAGCATTTCATTTTGTTTTAGTGCCTGTGAAAAAGATGATACAAAAATGAACGTAATCCATAAAGATAATCCAAAATGTCATCATAGTGAAGAGGCTTAGTTTACTTACTGAAGTGTCATGTTATCAGAAAGCTTTATCTTAATGTATTACAAGTTTATCACCTGGATCCATCGGTGTTTGTACTTCCTGCTTAAATATTTGCCTGAACCAACACTAATGCTGCAGTGTATCTGTTGGGTGTTTGCATATAATCTAACTGAGAAAACATCCTTTGTTTGATCTAGCTTCTATCAAGCTTGGCCCACTTTCTCCACCCAACCCTACCCTCAAGCACATTCACCTCAGTGGAGGGCTGCTGTGAGTGAGGCTTGCCATTCTTCCATCCCAGTGCTGCCTTCCCACTATGGCATAGTTGCAGGTTTAAACATTGGACCCCTACCTGGAAGAGATGAAGAAGAACCAGCAGAATCCGCTGAGAGGTGGAGAGGAGACCCCCAGTGAGAATGTACCACAGCCGACTCTTCTGCTCTGCTTCTGCTGGGGCCTGCATGTAGCTGCTGTGGGTGGTGGTATGACTGGGACTGGGAATGCTTAGGCTGAGGGCAGAGCTGGAGCTGGGATGGCAGTTCAGACTGGAGTGGCAGTTGCTCCTGGGGTTGGTCATGATGAACCTCAAGTTGGGGCATGATGGGGGGATTGGGAGGGGATGTTGATACAGTGATGCAGTGTTCTGGCACCCCAGATGCTTCAGATGGGAGCTTCTTTATCTGAAACACAACAAACAAAAAGGTGGAATGCATGTCTGTGTGTGGTAAAGGTGTATTAATGTACCCTCCTCATAGTAATGTCATCAGTATTATTCCACTGCATAACCATTGTTTGTGGGGAAACAGTATATGTGTGTAAGTATACTTCAGGTGTTAGTGATCAAACTGCAGACATGGCCATCTATTAGTATTTGTTATAGTGTCCTATAATGGCATAAAATAATTCATTTAAAAACATAAATTACTAGAATATTGTACATTCTATTGTGCCATACATTTGCAAATATATATAAAAATATGATTATTTGCATCCCTTAGGAATCAAAGCAACTGTAAACAGTAATGATAATGCAGTAATACAAACAATATGTCACAAGGGGACAAATAAAGAGACAAGCATAAGACACTGTGCTTTGTTCTGGCTTTTAATTCAATTATGGTGTTTACTAATCTAATCAATGCATCAGGCCAAATGCATCTGGGATTGCTGGGTAAAGATGTGGTTCTTGTTTGCTTTCTGTGACCAATTTCCAATTTCTCTGTAAAAGCTTCTTATCATCCAAAATCCAAAAATCCAACCCCCCTCTACTGAAATTGCCTCTCAAATAGGAGAGTCAGCGTGAGGGAAAAGATGTACACACACACACACACACACAGACCGTGTTTTCATTCTTTGTGGGGACTTTACATTGACTTACATTCATTTTCTGTAGACTTATCCTGACCTTAACCATAACCACTACTTGCCTAACACCTAACCCTGACCCTAAACTTAAACCATGTTGTCACTCTAAAATTCAGTGATTTTCTTGCGAGAACCAGAGTGTGGTACAAGTCCTCACAGTGTGAGTGTGTTAAGTTTCGGTCCACATAATGTAAGTACTACCAAGGCACAAACACACACACATTGTGTTTCCATCACTTCAATGTACATTACATTGATTTTTATTCATTTCCTGGGGACTTAGTCTACATTCACACTGAGTCTAGGTAGACGCAATTCCCCTGTTGTGTTTTCAGGCCAGGGGCCTCATTGGTCAGTTAGACGCAATTCCCCTGTTGTGTTTTCATGCAAGAGGCCTCATTGGTCGGGGGGGAGGGGTTGTAAATGTGAATGATATGGCCACATTGTGATGAGCTGATGTGAGTGGCTTCATTCATGTTTCCAGCCCATGAGTTGCCATTGTATTTTGTTTATGCATGCTGCTAGCATAGCATCTTCTACTCGACCATCAGTGTGTCGGCAGTGATAGATAAAAACAATGTTTAACATACAGTACCCTAACTAATGAACAACATGGCATGTCGTTGTGGCTCCTTAACTGAATATCACTAAAGTCTCGTGCTAACAAGGTAAACAAAAGAGTCTTCTTCCAGTGGGCATCCATGTTCCTATTGTCCCCCGTATATGATTGGTCAACACAGCGCCTTTTTTATTCAATTCAAACCGGCATTCAAGAGTGGAGCGCGCAAACACGTTCGCCTCGGTGGGTGCCATGTTGTATTTTACACAATGTCATCGTCCAGTGCATCAAAAGTTGCACCAAAAGTTGATCCAACTTTTTCACAGCACAGGGCTGCATCGTTTTGCTGGAGCCTTGCGTGGTGCTGGTGCTGGCTGTGGTGAACACAATCCCCCCCGTAGATATGGATGAGGAGGGCTGCACTTTTTCATACCTTTGAAACTCAGTCTGAATGCAGACTTACCATAATCCTAAACCAAGTCATCACTCTAAAATGTGATTTACATTCTGGGGACTTGCTCTTTGTCCACATAAGGATGTTGAGTCCTATGCATGTACATGTTCCATGCATACAAACACACACCTGAAAGTACAGGTTGCAGAGCCAGTGATCAAGATCTGAAGAGATGAGGCCTTCAATTTTTTTAAACTGGTCCAGCTGTGTGTTGGGCTCGCCCCTCAGAAGAGGGGTTTTGAACCTGGTTTGATAACACAGAACTGGCAATGGTCACTGTACAAGCAGAACAACATAATAAACAACATACTTTCTTTAACTCAAGGCATTTTATCTGAAAACCAGTTATATTTTCATGCAATGCATTTTGTTGATTGTCATAGTGGTGAAATGAAAAAAAAAACTCATATAAATGTTAAAAATAGAACTCACTGAGGGCTAAGCACTAACTTTGATCTGCAACTGACCCACCTGCCCTGGACCAGACCTAGGCTCAGGCCACAAACCGGAAATGCCCCCCAGCCCAGTACAGAGCTGATGTGGCTGCTTTCTCCTGGTAATGCAGTCAGTTGGAATATGAGGACCATGGATGGGATGACCTCATGGGCTGTGGGTAAGATCTGCAGAAACACAGAAAGGCACAAAGTTCCTCACACTTTCACTCAGGTGAACACACATGCCTGCAGGCACACACACTAACGCATGCACACACTTCAACACATATACAGTACAAGAGATGTAAGCATGCGTAGACTTGCTCACAACCACGAAGCCAATGACAAACAGTCACACAGAAGGTAACAAACAGGACAGGGGCCCTCAGGGAGTCACTTAATTTACATCCTAGTCTTGAATCCTCCTTTAACTTATTTCTGTTTTTTTAGAGCTTTCTTAACTGCCATTCTTACCCGTCCAACTCAGCAAATTGCCTAAAAGGAGATGTTGAAATGATAAAGACTGTCAGCATCAAACACGAGGTGGAGGAGAGCTTGAGATTGCTGTTGTAGTCTCTGAGCTGACAGTTACTGAATTTACAATGCAGTAAGTTCACCATCAATCAAACTGATGATATTAAGGGTATCTTGCATGAAGCAAAAAGTGTTAGTAGTTAGCAGTCAATGGCAAACACATACATTCTTATTTACCCAGAGAACAGTGGGTTTGCTTAAAAAATGAACTGACAGTGAGGTGTGTGCCACTTCATCCATCACTGGGTGGAAATATTTTATCCCTTTATTAGTTGTAATGGAAAACGCAGAAGACTTGTTTTAACACATAAATCATATGTATCCCTCCCACCCTGCATTAATCTGCTGTTGGTATGCACCTGTGAAATGATGGGTAGTAGTGTCTGACGCAGGACACTAATTTATGGCATAATATCACGGATTATGGATATTGAAAATATTTCATATTATTCATTTACTGTAAGAAATATGACCTGCATAAATAGTCATTTGTGTGCATGTGCAAGTGCTTATGTGTGTTCCTACACACGGTTGCATATTTGTGTATGTGGGAAGTGTTACTGTGACGTTTGTGAGAGTGGATGATGCTTCTTGAGGAGCCTGTTAAACCATTTTTAAAAAATGCCATTTGATTCTAAAAAAAATGTTTGCTAAATGTTTGGTTTAAAAAAATAAAGAACAAGTGTAAAAGATGGCTAACTGCTTTTCAAATGTCAAGCTCTTCTTGCTCAATGACCAAAAACAAAAGAAAAAAGATTCAAGATTTATACAGGGATAAAAGACTGAGTGAAATCATGGTTCCCAAAACACCACTATTTTATTTCCACTTCCTTGTTTTTTCTTCTTCCCTTTCTCATATTGAAAACACATGGATCTTCGCATTTGGTGCAAAGAACGTAGGCTCGACACATTTCAAATGCTCCCACCTTTCCAGGACATCTCCAATTGCATTGTTTCTGTCTAAATCCAAACCTATGCACACAAAGCAAAGGGTGAATGAAAAAAGGGGGGATGAAAGGAAAATAAGCTCCTGGCTTCCTCCTACCATTACTAATTCCTCATTTCCTCTTAGAAGCCACTGCAAGCACTGCTAAAATTGCGCTCTATAATGTGGGCAAGAGGAGAGGCAGAAAACAACCAAGCTGATAGTTTCAGACAAATCTGATCAGCGTTTCCACTTCTATCGAGGACAACAACAGGTTTGTCTACAAAGTGCAGCTGAAGGTTTGTGGAGGAGAGGAGGGAAGGAAGAGTGACATGAGGCATTTATCATGCCATACTTAAACCATTTTGTACCTCTGAATCAGATCCCAGGTCTGCTTTCAGTTTGTGCCAGTTTTTACGCCACCCTTTATCTTTGATGGGAGCTTGAGACAATAGCATCAACATGCTCTAGCTCAGTGAATACGCCCACCAGCACAGTGGTGTCCACATGTGCTAAATGCACCAGCCCAGGCCTTTAGAGTTGAAATCAAGGAACTGAAGAAGCCCTTTCTGAGCCTGTTTATAACTCTATGGGATCAGAAGGGACACTGGATTAACTGGTTTCTGTTTTAAGGTTTCTTAACACTGTACTGCACAAATCATCAGTGCATAAACATAGACAAAAATTTCTAATCCACTGGTCAATATGAACCATCCTGTGAGTTTTTAAGATTAGCATTGCTTCTACACTGGATGTTTTACTTCACTTCAAGAATAAAACTATAATATTTTTTCTATTCTCCGTAACTCTTCTATTTCTCCTTTTGTTCTCTCCACCCAGCTCTTCTGTAATGCAGGTGCTCAAAGACGTGTAGAAAAGACATTAAAATTTTCACTGCATTTGTACTTCATTTTCATTCCAATAAAACATTACTCCCTTATATAAATGAATTATTGATCTTGGGTTTGATTTACATGCATGGATTAAATGTCATGTTTGAAAAGTTGTTGTTTTATTCATATGGAAATCCCTGGAGAAAAACCTAGAGGCTGCGTGTGGCATATTTTCATATGCCATCTTTTACAGCAATATAATTTCTCATAACCCCTTCAATCCAGAAACTGCTCTGTCTTACTGCAACTGATCAAACCAAAGGAAACAGAAAGAGGCAGAAGAATTTAAAAATACCAGGGCAAAAACTAAAATGTGTAGTGTGGTAGGTTCTCTCACTTTAGCATGGCATGTTTTATTGTTGGCTTTTATCTGAGGAAACTGTTTGTTTTTAAGATTGCATTTTACCCACATTTTTAATAGAATTTTACATCAAAGGCTTTGTCCGTATCATTGGAGGTTGAGCTGCTTTAATTCAGGATCCTTGAGTGTCACAGTTGTTTTCAGATGAGAGATGATTTGTATTAATTTCAGTGTTTACTTGAATAAAAAAACAAATATAACAGCTTCTCTAAGCATCAAATGAAGAAATGGGCTCTTATTTAATAAAATGGCAGCCGGATTCTGTCCTTTCCTTGTATAACAATAAAAATGTATTAGTGTCAATGGAGGAAAACAGCATCTTACTGGCACCTGCAAATGCAGACCTCTGTGTGCTTTTTGCAACAACCAGTCACATCTGCTCTCTTTCAGTTCTGCAGACATAATTGTGAATGTCAATGCTTAGAAACATTTGGAGTTTGTGAACTAAATGTTTTTTTTTGTTTGTTTTTTTGTTTTACAATTATCCCTTCTATGTTTTGCCACATTCTATAATCCCTTATTAATTCATCTTGACATCTTAAACAATCCTTATGAAGTTAATTAAATAGTAAAGTGTTTATATTGTCTTGCGAACTTAAAATACTGTGGCTCTGAATGGTTTCAGTATCTTCACTATTAATTCAAACTGTTTTTATCCAGTACCTCATCAAAGATTTCTCACCATGAACAACTTCTGGTTAAAGCATAGGTCAATGTCGTGGACGCGACCTCCGTGCTGAGTCGGCTCTGTGGACACAGACCATTGTTGACGCTCTTTTTTACTAGAACAAGCCACAGCTGAGCCACCCAGATGGCTGTGAAGGGCCACGCTGACAGTGTAGAGGCCCCTGGGCAACTTGTCTCTAGTAGCTCTTAGGCAGCGCACATACACCTCCACAGGCTGGGGAGTTGTGTTCTGGTTCACCTATAATACAAAAAGTGCAGAACATAAGATTTGATCACAATATTCTGTCTTGTCTTTCTAACTTTCTGTTTTCATGGGGACTTAGAAATTGTTATTGTATTACTACGACAAATAACTCGAGTGACAAACATTGATGGAAGAAGTACCACATCCCTTAAAAAGTAAAAGCAGCATTACAGCAGTGTAAAACTACTGTTACAAATACAAAGTCCTGCATTTGAAATGTCATTTAAGTAAAAGTACAAAGTATTAGCATCAAAACATACTTAAAGTATTAAAGGTAAAAGTTCTCATTGTGCAGAAAGGCACACTTACGTATGTGTATCATAATTTTATTATAATTACTGATGCATCATTGTGTACATCATGTTTAATATTGCATCTGGTATCAAGATAATTTTGTTCATTTGTATTAGCTGTTGCATTTAATCACAAAAAAAACATTAAGTACTACATCGTACATGTGTCAAAGTAAATAGTTCACCTGCCTCTAAGACAAACAGTTTGTTAACAATGTGTATGGACCTCAGTTGTAAATGCTGTTAACAGTTACATTATCTAATCTAATCCACTTTGTCTGTAAACTACTTTGTTAATGCTGTTTGGGAAGTTGCTGTGTAAATAGTTGACTTTGCCCTTCCTCCAAGTTTTACAACAACTGTAGCTGTTGTTGAAATTACCCCATCCCCTCTCCTTGTCAGTGTTGAGAATGATAGTTATTACCCCTGGTTAGATTGCCCATTCAGATGAAGGTTTCAAAACACCAACCTTCTGGTAGCAAACTCATCCTCCTAACCTTCAGGCTACATCAGCCCACTTGTTGTTTATTTGCCTGTTTGTTTTGACATGTGCCTCTTTTTTAAGGCTTAAGATGAGTTATAAGGTAAGCTGGCTAGACAGTTTTGTTTCCTTTATTAAATATAATCAGAGAAGAATATAAACATTCAGTCTTTTGTCCCCCATGGCGTCTGTTAAACAGAACTGAATGAGAAGTCAATCTGGCTTAAACAGAGCCACTCGGTCCTTGTCACCACATTAATGTTTTTAAACTTAAGCAGCAATGTCGGTTCATTGTTTGGCTAGTTTGACATTATGGCTGTCCTGCACCTTAGTGCAGATAAAAAAGGTGGCTGGACAGAATGGCATTAAACAATATACAAGTCTACTTAACTATTCCTGTAAAATGTAGCGAGCTCCTTAGTCCATCTGCTTCCATCACATGCTCCCTGTCCTAACTGACCCAATACTACTGCATCCTATCCTTTATTTATATTGTTGACAAGGGAAAATTTTGTTGTGGCAATTAAATCCCACACTTCCAGTCAATGGCATAGTAGCACTCAGGGAATACGTGTGCTCCCACGCACTTGCACACTGTATACAGTGTTTGTTTTACAGTATACTGTACACAGTGTTGTCATCAAATAGTCTGACAGTGTTCCAATATCTTTTACAGACACACATTAACCTAGCAGCAACTGGTGGTGCCCATTGCTCCGTCAGTCTGTGACGGGAGAAGGTGTATGCTGTGCCCCTCAGTCTCCTCAGTGCGAGCATCCCAAAACAACAAAAACAATTTAGGCAGAAATGAAATTAGTGTAATTGGTGGCAAAGTGGTTTAACCCACACATCTCACATTTGGGAAGAGGTGATGGAGGCCTCTAAACCCACACACTGGAAAAGATTTCTGCTTGCATACTGGAAAAACAGGAGAAGGAGGAGAAGAAGAAAAAAAAACAAAGAAAAATAACATCACACCTGTGTCCAGTTTGCACTATGTATGTCCTTAAGATGTGTCTGGCCCACATAGTTGCACAGAGACAGTCAAGACGAAGGTAAAAGGTGAAGTGAGCCAATTTTCCATATCAGAGGTGGTTTGTTTGCCCCAAGCGTGAGTTGTGCCTAAAGTGCCATAACATTACAGCACTCCTACAGATGAGATCAAAGGCTCTAGCAAGGGATCCTCCGTGGTTTTGCTGGCAAGCGGCCGTCCTTTCTCTGAAATATCTTTTAAGGGCTTTCCATTGACTGATCACACAAAATGCATTCTTAATAGAGACAGGAAATGCCACATACAAAAACTTCCTTTCTTTCTAAGTATGGACTAATATTCAGAGATTACGCTTTCTCGTTAATTATTTTCATTTTAATTAGTAAATCTTAATTAACAATGAACATTCACCCTTAAAATTTTTTGGCTTCAGAATGAAGGAGGGGGGTGAAGAAAGGAGAGAATAAATATGACAATCTTTTTGGGACCTCCGGGCAGGATTACTGATGCAGGCTGCCTTAGTTATTAAACACGTTCTAAATTAAATGCCTCCATGAATTTTGCACAGAAATATATTTTCATAGTTTTGCATGCCAAATGTGACATTTTATATTTCAGATTCATCTTGCTGCAGTAATTTTAGGGAAATGTCATATAAACAAAGATTTTGTCATTTACCAAAGGAAATTACTATGCATGGCAGGTTTGGCCATTGGTTTCTCTCTCTCTCTCTGTTCTTTTCTATCCCTCTTCCTTTTTTGCCCCCTATTCTGCCTGTGCCCGTTGTTTCAAGTCAGCAAGCCATAAAAAATCTTTATCTCAGTGAAACACAGCAATTTGGGAGATAATCGAATGGTGACTTGGGGGCACAAACGCCAGTCTGAGGAATTATACCACAATCTCCCCTGCATTTACAACCTTCCTCAAAGCCAGTTGTCACACTGGAAGGAAAGCCCCTGACTGAAGATTCATTACATCTTTAAGCCAGCATGGTGGCATGGCAGCCTCATCCCCAGATGCAACACAACAGCACACTCCTCCCACAGCTGGTGATACTACTGCTAAAGCTGCAGCTTCCTTCTCCCTGTATCACATTTGATTCTCCTGTTTCTGATCTCCCTCTGGTCACCTTTTTCATCTCAAAAGAGTAGCTTTTCTTGCAACTTAGAATCATAAAACCACACATACAGTAACATCTACACAAAGCAGAAAAAAGTCTATGTACTACAGTATATAAAAATAATATGACTGTATACTAGTTATGTATAGGATGTATGTACAGGAAAGCCTTGTGCACAGTGTGTAGTGTCTCTGTATGAATGTGTGCCTTTGTGTAGGCAGGTGCACATATAGTGCTCACTAGTGTAATGAAAGGAGTGAAGGAATTTAAGATGAAAACCAGGAAATAAGAGAGATCATTTTTCCCATTCTCTAGCATGCCCCATTCATCATAGGATTTCACATAATTACATCATTCAATGATTTTTAGAAGCATAATCATGTCTTTTTTAAGATTTGCTAAATTTTCAGAAACAATATCTTATCCCGTGAAAGAACCTTTTAAGACATATGTCACTTCCTGTTTATGTGCTCTCTGTTTCCTACAAACGTGTGTTTCTCAGTGCACAGTCTTACCGGTTAATAGACCTTACCTGCCACAGGGGCTGTGATGCTGAAGAGGAGGATTCCCGGAGCTCTGTCATCTGGCCAAACGTGGCCACTGCTTCATCATCACCTTCTCCTAGTACTCTGAGTGATGGGCTTTTCACGGTTTTGGTGCTGTATAGACAAACAAACATAAGAAGCAGACCTTGTATTTTGGACTCTGTTGTTCCACTCTGTAGCCAACAGCAGCTCAATCTAATAACACCACAACAAAACACTTTCCATTTGGTCCCCCTCTCTCTCTTGCTCCCTCTCCTCTCTCCTGCTCTCTTTCACTGCCTTTCAATCTTATCAGTGGTAATGTAATAAGCGGTTGCTTCACTCTGTCTCCTCACCACCTCTCTTAATTCCTCAAAATAAAGCAATATCACAAGGGCCTTGGCCTGCCTGTGACTGGGGATGGGACGCTTGTTAAAGGAAGGATAATTCAGCAAATAAATGCTCTGCATCAAAGGCAGGCACTGGGTCTTTCTCTCCTCCCCAACCCCCTACCCCCCATTTGCCTATCAAAAATATTACATGTGCTTTCATCAGTTCACAACAAGGCACAATGTGCTTCCTAATGCAATTACTCGACCTCCATTAAATCAGAAACAGTGAAAACAAATGAATTACACATTTGTTACAAAAACCACAAGTCAGCTCAACATATTTCCTCTTTATTTTATTTTTTTTTTCTTTGATAGGCATGGGGCGAGAAAAAGTGAAATAATTTCTCATTCAATTTCAGGCAGATGTAGCCCTAGGTGATGCATAGAAAGTCTCCCATGTCTAATAGCCACCCACCATTGATATCAGAAGAAATTTATAGGGTTCAAGGCTGTTGAGGAGAGGTCATCTTGCTAAACTCCGAAATACAGTCATCTGACAGGGTTGGTGTCCGACTACCACCCACCAATAAAGCAACCAAACACAAAATACTGATGTGTACAGTAGTTTCTTGATTTTATCATGTTAGTCCATAATTACTAAAAACTTAAATATGATAAGCTGATAGCCTGTGGGGCTGTGCCCCCAGTGGATGGACCGAGAACTGATGTCATTTTAGCTTTTGCTTTATAATAGAAAATGGTCTGCACCTACCATTGCGTCAGTGTATTCGGTCTGGGTGGTGGCGCTTCTCTTGATCCCTCATCATTGTGTCTTTGTGTATGGGGCTCCTTTGAAATATTAAAGTGGAAAACAACTAATGAGTTAATGTGGTAACCATTGTTAAAGTTGTCAGTTCATTCAATATTTAAGCACATCACTCTAAAATGTTAGATTATTTTCTGTGACTATAATTGCGTATTTTCAAGCTAAGTGCATTAAGAAAATAGGATAAGAAATAATTTGACTGGATGAATAGTTTCAACTTAGAAAAATGTTGACTCAGAAAAGACATTTAGTCCAAAGTTAATGTTTTGAGTGTATACACATGGTACTGGACATACTGGCCTTTACCTTAACATTTCCAGTGAAGGCCATTAGACTCTTCTTTCTCTTTGCCCATTTACATCTCTTTAGTGATCCCTTCTGAGCTGCTTGCTGAAAATACATGTAAACACGCATGCACACTTTCTTAGAATGCAGTTTTCTGAGACTGTGTGGTGCATCCTAATGGCAGAATAAAGCACAAGAAGCCACTGCTATGCAGTCTGCAGACAATCAATACTGAGCCAGACCCTAAAGACATATAGCATTTTGTTCAGTGTTTCTGCCAGTTTTACATTCAGTCAGCACATTCACGTTCTCTGTTCAGATGCATTGACACTGCTAAGTGACAGCATCTCACTCTGTAGAGGCTTTGTATGGCAGAATACAGAAAGAAGAAAAAGACAATTATTTTTTAAAATAGATGTGAAATCTCTGTGGGATAATGTGCTTTCAGTGGGAGGTGGGTGTGGAAGCAGTAGGACAGCGCATACATGTTATGGCAGCATAAAATAACACTGATCCCAGTACTGATACAGTATTCAGTAGATATCATTGATTATCCAATACAGGGGGATGAGTCAACTGTTGCTGTGGCTTTCAAATGATGGTAAGTCATTGCTGAACCATTTCCCCCAATTACATCTACTTTCTATTCAAATAATTTCATACTCCTACTCCCCTTTGAAGTGAGATTATGACTAAAACTACAGTGGATCGGCATTGTGCATTCTGTTTATGTATGTGTTAATGCTTGGGTTTCTTTGCAGTTTAGTGTTGCCAACACAATGGAAACCCAATGTTCTTCTATCCACTCCCATTTGCTTTCTGCCTGATAAATACAAACACTTGTTTTGAAAAAAAAAAAAGCTTCAGATCTGAATGCTAGTTAAAAAAAATCCCTTCTCCTCAATTGGAAAATAAAAAGTAGTCATGCTCTATTTTTCCTGAAAAGACCACATGATTGAAAGAGAACCAAGGAAATTCTGCTTCTGTAAAAAAAAAAAAAAAAAGAAAATTAAAAAAAACAAATACGCATCAGAATGCACAACAAAGTTCAAAGGCCGACCGAACAGTTCCTACAAATAAATTGCACAAAAATTATGCATCTGAAAATCCCTGCACTTTTTTTGAGATAAGGATTATTAACTAACTTCTGAAATACCTTGATCACATGTTCTACAAAACATTATTTCACAAGTGAATTCAGATTAGATTTGGACATTCTGCACTGCAATGAAATGCAAAAATTTGTAAAGGCAAAGGAGTAGAATAAAAATTGAGAGACAAGAAGAAGAGCAACAAAAGAAAAAAAAAATTAGTAAGCCAGGTAGTGTACAGTAAGTAACACACACGTAGAGTACACATTGGTTTGTGAACAGACAAAAAGAGATGTATGCACACACCCTGTGTCCATTACCCAAAGTGACTGATAAACAGCATAATGGACATGGCTGATGTGCTGGTGAATATGGGATGATGACACAGATACTCCTCTTTGTAGCCCTGACCTGCTGCAGTGAAAGGCTGCCAAGCGTAATCATGTCAGGCTGCACACACTCCCTAAGCTGCTGGGCATAGTGGGGAATCACCTCCTCAGCTGTCCTCACTGTAAGAAATAATAAAGTGGCATACAAAAACAAATCTTTTTTTCAAGAATAAAATATCACAGTGGCATGGTGCACAGATGGTTTAATATTATGTCATGTATCCTGTTATGACACTCTTCCATTGATATATGTGGGAATAATAAACAAACAAAAATGTACATAAATTCCTTGCATTGTCTAAAAGATTCCTTGCTAGTTTTATATCATGTATATACAGAAAATAAATGGTTTACAAAGCTAACATATTTAGTAGTGCAATACTATGCTAACATAGTGTCTTGCCTCACATAAGAAAGGAAAATAAGATATCAATATAGAAACAATTGAAAGGATTGGTTTACTTTTTACAGTGCTCTCTCTGCCCATTACCATCCTCCCTTCTCCTCCTAGCACAGCACCAGCCTCATCCTGGGTTTTGGCAATGGCGTGGGCCTGAGAGGGCCTGGAGCTCAAGGAATGACCACCAGCATAGAGCAGCAGTCGCTGCTGAAGCACCGGATCACCCGCCTTCACCTCCAACACTTCCTCATCCCTGGAGGCTGTCAGCATACCTGGAGAGATATGCATCAGTGGGCATGAACAGAGTCACACACACACACAACCAGACACATATGAACCTACACCTACATCACAACATGCACACACATACTGATGGATGTCATACTTATCTCATCCAGAAATGGGTATACAGACATTTATGCAGGTGAACAACATGCTCTGAAGCCATATGTTTACACATACAATTCACAAAACTATAGCAACATTTGAAATTACAGTATTAAAGTATGTTTTAATTCTCAAATCCTGACCTTAGCATATTCAAGTTAAAGCATGAAAGAAGAAATACTGTATGATACTGATGTGTACAGTAGTTTTTTTGATTTTATCCTATTGTATTCAAGGAAAGTAAAGGAAAGTGCGGTCTTTAAATGGAAAATCATTTATCCCAAATCATCTGAAAATATGACAAAATGCATGGCTTGCATTTTATAATAAACTTTTATACTTAAGAGCAGCTGTAGAATCAGGTACATTATTTGGACCTGCTACAGAACAAATATCTAATTTATACCAAGAATCAAAGGTTCATGTTGCATCATTTTTTGCATATTGCTTTTTCAAATTAAGGCATGCTAAACTAATTTTATGTAAAATGTTTGAAGTTCATTACACTGCATTAGCAACATCATTTAACTTAACAACCTCCACAACAAACTGTGAACAACAAGCTCATACAGTGAAAGAAAGTTTTCTACTCAACAATATGGGAACGGGTTTCTAGTTAGTAACTTAGAATTTGTCACTGAAAACAGCCTCCTCTGCAGTAGCTGCTGTGTATCTTTTCAGTTTTGCTCTGCCACCTTGATGGTAGAAAACATGAACACGTGTGTGCAGTATTCAACGTGTACCATTAATTCTTTGCTTATTTACACTGTGGTGCTTTATGCTGTTCTCTCAAATCAAAGACAAAAGCCTGGGAAGCTATCACAAAATCTCAGGATCAGCACTGACAAACTCGTTCTACAGCTGCAAACAAAACTTGCGACCTACACCAGTGGGAGGCATCCATACAGTAGCATAAGGTGATTGTCTTAAAGTCTGCTGTAGTGCTAACTGGCAGTCACTGCAGCTGGACCCCAGCAGTATAGATGTAAGAGCTTTCTCTCTTTCTTCCTCTGTGTCTTTCCTTCCCGGTCTATCAGCCTATTGCATGGAGGAACTGTTAATCCAAGATCCTCTTTACTTTTTCTGTGGATTTCATGAACATTCCAAGACAATGGATGGGGCTGCTAATCTTGGTGGTACAGCTAAATCCGAGACAATGGCAAATAATAAGAGGCAGCTAAATTCTACCATGTTGAAGCGGGCCTAAGCCCATCACTTGTGCACTGGAATTACAAGGGAAACGTGCATCATGTCAACAGGATCTGGTGCGACTGTCTTCATCCAGAACAATGCCAAGCATAAATCATCTCAGTGTTGCCTGGTTGGCTACATATTTAAATGAAACTGAGCTAAGAAGAAAAGGTTGGTTTTCCTTAGAAAGCACTGACTACTAGCAAGGCCATTTTTCTAGTTCTATTCTTGATAGTACTGTATCTTAGTCCTGCTTTCAGTGTCAGTGGAAATTGTCTTATTTTTGACTGCTGTTAACACTGTGGTCAATGTTTCAAATTTGGTAAATTTAGTAATTTGGTTTCATGATATTAAAACATAACATTTAAATTAATATTTCACCATGCAAATTAGAAGACAGTGATTGTAACTTGTGAAAACTAGATCTTAACATGACCAGATTTGGAAAACTTTTTACTTTAAATCAGATCAGATGATCTCACGATGCATGTAAAGATAGGACAAGTCAACTGAATAGTGATCTTAAGGGATTAAACTTGTTATACTGTATTACCAAATAAAATGTTTAATAATTCTAAATTAATGTGTTGTGAGTTAAAAGTCAAATAAGCATTCCTAATTAGTTATTTATCAATCAACTGCTTGCAAATGATCAAGATAACATGGGGTTACCTACCAGGAATGTCCACGACGGTATCGTCCTCATCCAGTAATGCAGCCATTTTTTGATGCAGTCCATTTTCATCTGCATTTAATATTGATACATGTCAACACAACTATAAAATGAGCACACCTTCAGTGTTGCTGGAAATTACATGCATTTGGGTTGCTTCAAAATTACCTCCTACTTATCAGACAAGTCAATCTAAACCACATCTTAACATGCAAACCAGAGATACTGGCCGTGGCTGGAGAGGGGTGAAAATCAAGTGTCTGCAGAGGGGTAATGAAATAGGAGCATTAACATGCCTGTTAGCCAGCCTGTCATCATGTGATGAGATTTGGTTTGGTGAATCCTTTGATATTACACGGCAGTAATATCCAAAAGATACAGGTGAAATGGCTTCTCCATTAATAGCCATGTTTCATTATAACATGCATATTACTTGGCTCCCAAGAGCTCGCTTTTAATAGGCCAACTTTAGGAGGGGGCAGCAAACTATTGATATGGCTCTGCATGTGTCATTTGACAGGGGAGAGAAAAAGCCACAGTGAAATGAAAATTGACCAATGATATGTGACCTTCATCAATGACAGCAAGTTGGGTAGTCAGTCTTGTGATGCCATCACTTAGTGTATTTACATAGACTGTCCTGCAATCACAAATGTCAGCCTGCTACCAGTGATCTCTTTCACCTCACTTTAATGAACCGAGGAAAACTATTATAACAGAAAATGGCATACTTAATTCCAGCTCATCTTCAGTGCTGACCCCAGCCATCCTGCACTGCCTTGGGTGTGTCTGCCCTGTCGACAATGGGTCAAAGTAATTTTGGGCACGTTCATTTCCTGTGGAAAGTGCAAATAGAGAGAGAATAAGAGAGAGAGGTGGTGGGAGCTGGCAAGGGGATTGCAGGAAAGGGAAGAGGGGAGTTATACAGGTTCAGGTTAGTGGTTATTAGAAGCACATGAACCAAAATGTTAATTTGAAACCCACACTATCGAAGGGCAGGGGCAGTGGCTGCTACCAGATAAGGCAGCGCCAAGATGAGACATGAGAACAGAGGCAGAAAGAGAGGGAGAAGTGGAAGAGAGATTGCTGGGTTTCTCAGTGCACCTCTCCACAGCCTGAGGTGCTCTGGGGCCTAATTAGCATGCTGCAAAAGGTCACGGCAGGCAATCTCTTAAATATGACTGCCATATGTTTGCTGTGTTCAAAAGGAACTAATGAGAAAGTCTAAAAGCTCAAAAGTACCTGGAATTTCAAAGACAATACCTTCTAAATACTCCAAGGTCAGCAACCTAGAGGACTGGGCAAGTTTAGAGGAGCAGATCCAAAGGAAAATAACCTGAACCCAAGTCTCATTGTCTTCTTATTAGCAGTCTCTGACCTATGGGTATCAAGTCTGCTTCACAGAGTTTATGGGAATCCGATGGCTCTGGGCCTCTTTCTATTAAGGATACACCCCACCAAGCAGCTTTCTTAACCTCACATTATTCTCATTATAGGCCTTTAATATTTCATTCCATTATAATTTGCTTTACTTGTATTTTACAGGTTGTGGGGGGCGGGGATGCATGGTGCTTTAAATCATATACAAGGACTGTCTTTATAGACGTCTGAAGGTATTGGCGCTTGGGTGAAAAATGTAAGTAAAGATGTTGGTATCAGAGCACCACTGGCTCATGAGGCCACTGCCTGAAAAAGCTCTCTGGGATTTTTTGTGCTCATGTGAAATATCAGCATGAGGTTTCACACTCTGCCCTTTTTTGTAAGTTAAAAAGTCAGACTGAAATACTTATTAAACAAGGAACAGCCATGTGATTCCTCCACTGTGCCATAAATTGACCGTGAAACATGTTAAATCCCCTTACATTGTTAACGCTGAGTTTCAACAATTTCTCTGCAAATAGCTCTGAGGTTATGAAACCCTTTTTTCAAGCACAAATTTGCATAATGGTAGTAGCTTCATGGAATGACTTTTGAATCATATCTGTGATTTACCTCAATACTCTGGCTGTCCTCCAGTTCATCTCACTAATGAAAATTTCAACTCTCTGTTCTTACATGCCCAGTATCACTAACTGCCATCAATACCAATAACCTCTTTTTGCCAAAAAGGGGTGTTACAAACAAGGAAGAGCCTGCCTTTGTGATCCTCCAATAAAGGTGTCCAAGTCACTGAAAGGTCGTGCATATTCACACTACCTACAGTGCACGTAAGAATAAAGGCATTGTTTATTTTGTGCTGCCAGTTTTGCTACTCGTGATTTGTATTTTGTTTAATATAGTTAGTGCAATTACCACAAAAAAATTAAATTATAACCCATAATCTATATGAAATGCATTTTGTGAAATAGTTTAATATTTTCCTCTATTTTTAAGGTGACTCGTAATGATGGAGGATACGATTATAAATATTGATAAAAAGGTACTTGGTGTAGAAAAGAAAGTTTTTCTTTGGCTTTTCCGAAATGGAAAGATAACAGATCAATCAGAAAACTCATCAGTTGCCCGTGTAAAAGAGCAAACAGTGACATTTCCAACTAATTTTTGTGTCAACGCAACATTCCTTTCCAATTCTGGCATAGAAAGTTACAACATTATTACCCCAAATCAATGGGACCTCATGCTATTGGTCATCAGTGTGATCCAGAACAAATAAGAGAGAGTCAGACAGCCAGAATAACAGACTTTCGCTGTCTCTTATATTTGCAACTTGATATTTGTATATTCTGGACAGCATCCATGTTTTCATCGTCTTCACCTCTAAAATAAATATGATATGTGGGTGACAAAACAAAACAAAGATGATGCCCTCTAAAGCAAGTTCAGAGTGATGATTTTCTTCAGTCCATTAAAGAGTTTTATTGATGACCTGTTTAGATTTAACATTATTCTTCCATATCATACAATGCATGTTTGTGGTTTGTAATTTTTGCTTATATACAGGCCGAGTCCACACACCATGGTGAAATGTAAATCCTAAATTTTGTGCATGAAACATCATGACAGTAATAAATAATAATTACAAGCCATCGACAGCAAAATAAACCACATTAAATCAAGAATCTCACATATGACTCATCCCTGAGAAAACTGGCACACTCACAACCTTGAACACATCCTAATTTACCATTCCATTCCTCAAGAGTTCTCCCTGACATACTGAATTATAAAGGGGCATATTCTTATGCCTGATTGGCCTTAAGCCGCATTTCGGGGGCGTTGTGAGTACACCACACAGACGGTGGATCGGCTTGGTAGCGTAGTAGCGTATGTAAATGCACTCTCCCATGACTCCAGCCCACCACAAGGCATGTAGCCGAGAGTGGGAGTCATGGCTGATTGTGTCGAGGATACTTCTAGACAGAGATAGAACACCCACTACTGTAACATTCTCCAGCGGAGGAAGAAGTTATATGAGGGTTGCTTGTTAGGACACGCTGGCTTTGGAATTCAGGGACTAAGGGTCCCTCGAATGGAGAGCAAGAGAAAGAAAGAGGGAGTGAGAAAAGGTTAGATCAGAAACACATCTACTGTCAACAAATTTGAGGCTAATTAAGAATGAAGCTTCACCTCTTTCTTTGGCAGGAGCTTGCAGCTCTGTTTTTTTCTGGTGTGCTGTAGTAGTGCTATCTGGCCTGTCACCTTGAATTTCTCTCCCCAGCTGAACCAGAGGAAAAGAAAGGTTGGTGCTTCTTCCTCCATCAAACACCGGGTTTTCTATGCCCGCCACAGCAGCTCGCTCTCCTCTCCCTGACAAAATAAGTGAAAACACAAGTTATATGAAGGGGCAATACAACAATTAGGCCAAAATGACTTGCTAAAAAACTAAACATATTTCATGGGGGAACAAAAAAATCCTGTTGGTGATTTTTTTGCTGCAATGTTCAGCGCATCCTCCTCGAATGACACTAAAACACAATTAGGTTAAAATTAAATCAGAATCTTGCAGGAGGAGGGGAAAAAAAGAGAAGAAGAAGAAATGATTAAAATAATTACAAATTGCGCCCTGACAAGCAAGAGCAAAATTTAGCCCAAAGCCATTTGTCTGTAATTAGTTAATTAATCCTTACACAAATTATGAGCAATAACTCATCAAGCAGGACTCACCCATCAGAAATTCAGCCGACTTGGATTTCTTCTGCTTAGGTTGCTGCAGAGCCTTCTGCTGTAACTTCTGGAGGGAAATTGTTAAATGAATAAATTAGCCACAGAATGAAGATCACCATTTATGATCCGCAACTAACGCAGTATTTTAAATATGGGACGACACTGAAATGTCATTTAATTTACATCGCCGCTAAAGGGGTCAAGCACTAATTGAACAACAGGAGTGGAAAAGAATTTAATCATACATAGATAAGAAAAGTTGACATGAATGTGTAATGAAGGTCACATTAAAATACTTCCTCCTTGTTTCTAGAATGAACGGGAAACAATAGTGTCTCCTGGAAAATATGCTTTTTTACACAGGAGAGTACACAGCCTTGGAAATCTAGGCCCATTTCTCATTACTTCTTTTCACACAACTCAAAATAAAAAGGGGAGAGAAAAATAATCTTGAAATAACACCCTGCCATTTGTTTTTAGTGAAACTTGGAGAATTCTTGATATAGGGTTTATATTTAAAGAAATTATAAATACAAATGTTACATGAATGTGATACAGTATATCTACAAATAAGAGCCAAAAAAAGCACTGCAAAAAGCAAGCTTGGGATCCTTTGAAATCAAGAGTATGTGGTACAAACTCTGCAGTCCCACATTCCTCTCATTTCTGCGGACAAGTAGAACAATAAGAAAGCTGAGGTAAGAGGCATAAGTAATTGTTTTTGTTATGGATATGTTTACATAAGAATGCACCATATAAAAGAGCTCTGTTGCTCAAAGCGTATGGAGCTTTTTAAGTATAATTTTATGCAGATTTCAGTGATGAACTGTTCTCATGCCCATGAACAGCATATATTTGTATACAATATTTAATTTCAAAGGCAAAATCAAGGGGCAGAAGGGTGGGTGG